TCACCTGGACCCTGAGTCCCTGAGAGAGGCTGACATGAACTGTGGTCATCAGAGCTCTGTAGCCAGAAGTTTCTCCAGGTCTACCTGGCCCTGTGGTCCCGGAGTTGCTTATAAAATAATTACACAGACGTTTATATTAATTACCAATTCTATGGCCTGTTGGCTAGGGCTTCTTGCTAGCTAGCTCTTACAACTTAACTCAGCCTATTTCTATTAATCTACGCATTGTCACGTGGCTTACCGGCACTTTTACATCCCGCTTCTCCTGGTGCATCTCCCTGAGAGCTCTTTTATGGGCAACTCCTAGGCCCATGAATGACTCATCATTAGCCAAGATAATGAAATATGATCCTGACCCTCCCACCATCCAGTAACTAAAGGATTAATGAATAAAGGTGCTTGGGGTTCTGAGCAGCTCTTGGACCTTAGACAGACAGACAGACACACTGGAGCTTTGAAGAAGGCCTCATAATAGCTCCACTGCCTCTTCAGATCTGCTCTCTCCAGACTCTCAATGCTAAGGGCTTTGGCTGAAACTTCACCTCAAAGCAGCAGCTACCTCTGTCCCCTCTGCCCTTGCTCAGCAAAGGCCAAGGCCGAAAGGTCTCAGTCCCTGCAGCTCTGGGACAATGCTGCTCTCTCGTCTATTGGCCCTGAGTACTCCTCTTAGAAGCAAGCCTTATCAACATCTAAACATGCTTTAGCATAGTGGTCCTGATGCTGCGGCCCTTTAATACAGATCCTCATGATGCGGTGACCCCCAACCATGAAGTTATTTCATTGCTACTTCATAACTGTCATTTTGATACTGTTATGAGCCATAATATAAACAAATGTCTGAGATGCAGGATATCTGATATGCCACCACATTTGGCAGATTGAGAACCATGGTTCTAGCACTTTCCCTGGCTAAAAATAATCAATCAACCAACGAAACAAACCAACAAAGCTCTTTTGTTTGCATAGCTCCCTGCAACTTCTTCCCCAACAGCCTTATCTCTTGTATGTTAGACCTTCTCAAGGGTATTCGGACCCTTCTTCGTGCTGAAGCAGCCTGTGAAGTACCTTGTTTTTCAATGACTGGTTAGCCCAGCTTCCTGTCTCCTCTGTGTTGCTGGAGCAGCTTTCCTGCTCACAGGCTGCCTCTCTCAACATGCTGCTTCTTAGACCTCTGCAACAGCCTTCCTGATGTCCCTTCTCTTCCTCTAGATCTTTCCCTTTGTCTAGGCCATTCACTCTAGTCCTCAGAGTTTCCTAGAGTACCGATTCTGAAAGCAGGTCCCTGCATTCTGAGACTTAACCTCTGAGCTTCTGGTGCATGTGCCTAGCTGTGCACTAGACACGTGATGCATCAGAAGTGTTTAGTACAGAGTGTTTAGTAGCCACTCCGGACCTACATTCAAAGCTTTTTAAAATAGGGCAGTTTGCTTCCTTATCATCCACTTGCAAGAGTTTCTTGTGTGTTTTGGGTAGTAGGTCAGATACAATCTTTACAAGACACATCCTTTGTGAAGGTTTTCTCACATTCTTAAGTATCTTACTTTTAGTGTAGTGTCAGAGATCAGTTCTTTCTTTCAAGGGGAAGATATAAAAATGACAAAAAGGTAGGTTACTCAATCTATTATGAAAAGAAAAAAGAGAGAATATGGATATGATAAGATAAAAAGGTCAATTATTGAATCTACTTAAAAAAAACGAACTACTTGTTTTAAATAGGATAAGTAATGAAATTTTTGTCTGAGTTTATCAAATGTTACTGGACATTGTTAATATATATAATGGAGTTTTTTTGTCTGAATCTGTCTAATGATAATGGACTAGACATTGTTAATGTAATTCTTGACTGTATATATTGTATATACTTATTGGATATAGTTTTTCTTGTATTAGTTATAAGCTTTTTTTCATTTTAGACAAAAAGGGGGAAATGTGGTTGATATATTGTGCACCCCAATAAACTTATCTGGGGGTCAGAGAACAGAACAGTCATAATATTAAACATAGAGGTTAGGCAGTGGTAGCACACGCCTTTAATCCTAGCATTCTAGAGGCAGAAATCCATCTGGATCTCTGTGAGTTCAAAGCCACATTGGAAACAGCCAGGCATGGTGACTCATGCCTTTAATCCCAGGGAGTGATGGCAGAAGCAGAAAGGTATATAAGGCGTGAGGACCAGGAACCAGAGCTGGTTAAGTTTTAGGTGTTTGATCTGAAATGTTATCTCCCCACCCAAGGTGAGGTAGGCTTCACCCTACCCTCTAGCTCTGTAATCTTGTACTTTTTATTTTTATTTATTTATTTATTTTTTTGGTTTTTCGAGACAGGGTTT